CCACTTGTAACCACTGATGAACGTCATTTCTGAGGGCGGACCATGCACCAGTCTTACCTCCTCCAGCCTTGAAATTGAGTCTGCCATTGGTGGCGCCGTGTGCAGCGTCCCATACGGTTGAAGCTGTGATCTGGCCATCGGTTATTTTTCTGCTCTCCATTCCGAGAGGTTCGGAACATGCTATGCACAGAGAAGACATTATTATTGCAAGGGACTGTAGTGCAAGTTTAAGCTTAATTGTTTTGAGCGGATGCGTCTGTTAAGTTTATGATGTTGTAGAATCATTCTGTCCAGTGTCGAAAATGTTAGCTCTTTTTGTTTGCTAAGCGAAAAATGGCTTACAAGATTGTAAGAAGAGGTGTTTTTTTGACTTTAATTTTGATGCCTACTTGTATATGTTTGGGGCGTATTTTTCATATCACGTTGCAGGGAAATGAAAGCGTTAAAGACTCCACTTGTAATACAGTTATTGTTGCTGAAGGGTTGATGGTAAAATTGCATTAGTTTGCAGGGGCGTAGCCAGCCCATAGGCCCGTAGGCTCGGGCCCACAATTTCTTCTGCCTGCTTGACTCATTAACATTACTCTTCCCAGTATGAAGTCGAAAATTGAACTTGCGTACGAGATATGATCGACCACTGAAGGAGAGGGAATTATTGTAATGGAAAACGCACTACATGATCAAATGGCCACCAGTAAATTGTTGAGACACTTCCATATTGTTGTCCTCAAGAGTTCCACCCAAATTTATCGTGGGCATTTACTACACTTCTAACTTTGTCAATGATCTGCAGTCTGAGAGAGGTCTTCGAGTGAGAGTGCCTTGAGCAAACTAAAAAACCCACAACGATAAAAGAAGATCTCCAGGTGGACTTGAACTTACACATCTCCATAAGGATCCACAAGGATCATGAACGTTTGAATGCCGTTGACTTACTGAATGTTACGCGAAACTGGCGACCAAGAACTGTAGCGTTTATCCTTTGCCCAGTGAGTCTTTTAAATCTAACCACCACATTGTCGTGATAGAACCCTAATCTTCGAGGAAGACCAAGAGCATTTTGGCCAAGGAATTGTTATCTGGAGCCTGCTAACTGAGATGTTAATATACCATATCTCAGAGACGATGTGCCAACAAGAACTATACTAACCCACTGAACAGCCGCACTAAAGTAAGCCTGCGAGAATAAAGGTTCTTGTTCAGGATGTTAAAACAAACTCAGAACTCATTTAAAGAACTCCTGTTATAAAGTCAAGGCAGACCAACTATTAAACCTTTCAAGCGAGCAACGGAAAGCAGGAGAAGAAACAATACACATCTTTGGGACGGTCAAGTGCGCCACTTATCAACCTGGAGCATCCAGAGACGAACAGATAAAATATGCATGCTGAACATCTTAGATATGTGACGTTTCAACGGTTGTTAACTGAGTATGTTTTTTTTTCCTAATTATAGAGCTGGTATGGACGACTCTGCAAGTGCCATCTCGGTAGCTTAGTACGAGTATTAATGGGTAATTCCATATACGTGGCATGCGGTCATTTGCTGAAATCTTCGGAGAGGTGATTAAAATTGCTACCCTATCGAATTATTGGAATTATCTTCATAGCCTTTGTGGACCTGAAAGTTGCACACTATTGGATGTTGCACCCCGTGACTCTTGGTTGAAATATCTTAAAATCTGGCAAAACTCCCCCATCTACTATTAGGTCTGTGTTGCGTCAATTCCAGTACAAAATGAGGAGCTTCAAAACCAACTGCTATTCGCCTGAGTGGGCTACATTCGAGAAAATCTCGGAAATAGGCGCGCAACAGATGAGTTGCATGAAGATGAATAGTCCAGGTTTCATTCAACTCCTTGGTAAGGTCATACCCGCCAACTAAGACGTAACGAGGTGACTTATCGGTGCCACTTTCACTTTGTAAGAACTGGGAAAGGCACTGACGCTGGTTAGATGATTTGGAAGCCTCTAGAAACAAGAGGATTGAACTTCTCTTTTCGCCGTTGGTAGGTCGGTTGTCAGTAACATGTATCAGTGGATTCGGTGCTGAGATCAATAGTTCGAGATTTAGATACAATCTATTCGACGAGCTACGCATACACTTAAAAGAAATAAAAAGAATAAGCCAGAACATTGAAGGTCGGGTTGTGTAACCTGAGAAAAATTCCAGTGCAGCGTATTACCCGGTCTCCTTCGACGCTACCTGTAGGGAACAGGCCTGCAACATGTCGAAGAGCTGGCTATGCCCCTGGTTTGTAAGTAGTTCCCTTTTAATTTTCGACGCCCCCGTGGTTTGTAAGTATGATAAGGTAAAACACATAACGGTGTTTGCTATCAAATTGATTGCATATTTGGCTCTTTGATTATTCAAAGGAATTAATATAAGACCGAACTGTAGTTGAATGAGTATGCGAGGAGATAGTCGAGCGCTTTTGTCGATTAAGTGGAAACCCGTTTGTTTATTGACAAGAAAATGAAAAGAAAATGTTAGTACCTAACGGACATCCTAAGAGTTCCATCCTCATAGAAATATGGCCACGCCACGTCTTAGGATGCACCCGAATGTAGCGTGCATCTATGGAAGGGTTCAAAACGTTCAAAACCACGGTGTTGCGGTCCGTGTTTCCATTAAAGACCTGCAGCAGATAAATGAAGTATTTTTAAAAGGTTAAACTGGTTAGTTACTTGTGGAGGGTAACAGTGTTGCTAAGTTTTTAATGTGGGACTAATATTTTGAGACAATTTCATGTTACAGAGTCGAGATTCATTTAGTTTAATTAATTGCTAGAGTTTGTCTTGCTACGATTTTCATCTGTTTCCTTACCTTGCTGTTCTGATAAGGTGTATAGGTGGTGCCGTTGCTGCTGTAGGAGATAGTAAAGCTCGCAACCCATTCATCCGCGTCTTGTCGTCCCTGGATCTGTATTCCTGTCACCTTGGTTTTAGCTCCAAGACCCACTTGTAACCACTGATGAACGTCATTTCTGAGGGCGGACCATGCACCAGTCTTACCTCCTCCAGCCTTGAAATTGAGTCTGCCATTGGTGGCGCCGTGTGCAGCGTCCCATACGGTTGAAGCTGTGATCTGGCCATCGGTTATTTTTCTGCTCTCCATCCCGAGAGGGTCGGAACATGCTATACAAAGCCGAAAATGCATTCGTTCAGAGAACTATAGTGCGAGTTTAAGTTCAATTGTTTTTGCACGATTACTGCGTTAAGGACTTGCAATTTGGATGCCTACTTGCATTTTCCTGTGGTGTATCATTCACAGCACAATGTACGAAAAATCATTGTAAAAGTTCTACTTGCAGCAAAGTCCCTTTAAAAACTCATTGTCATGGCTAAAGCGTTGTTTGTAATATCAATTTTCTGAAAGCTCAGCTCTCGCTTGATAGACCTGTGTACTTTTTCTTTTGCAAAATTCTGTATCATTTGAGGAATAAATTTTTGAAATGGAATGGTTTATGTCAAATCTAATACCGTAATTCAGCGAAACTGGTTTCTCATAGAATTCGATAAGAAGTAACATCTTATTGGAAGGTAAAAATGATTTTAGGTCTTGAAGTGAGGTAGTTGTGGAAGGCTGGGAGTGCTAATTTGGTTATGAAGGGATGGTGTGGTTACAGTCTGTTGAAATGAAGTGGTGGTTGTAAATGTTCTTATCAATAGTCGAAAACATACTGGTACTTAGGGACCGGTCATTATTTATCGCCTGTAGTGGGGGCGGAGGATTTGGGACTAAACAAGATGAAATTTAGCCGATCCCCCCAAATAACTTTTGATGACTTGCGAGATCCCCCCCCCCTCACGTCTTCATTTTCCAAGCAAATTTGAGTGGTCCCCACTCTGAATCCTTCCAAAGTTTTCAGCGATCCCCCCTAAAAAGCTAATTGGCCGTAAACCCGCGGTGGCCAGAAGATTAACCGCATTGCGAAGACCTAGATGGATGAGAAAAGTGAAATTCAACAATAACAAATTTTTCAACCCCGGGGAAAAGACCTTAGAAGACAAATTCCCTGTCCGTGGGATACATGACTAGATAAATGCCGCGTGAAACGCTCTGGGGAGGGGGGGAGGGGATGGGCACACTTGAAATATGATAGAGATGTCCTTTAAGAGAGGTTTATTGGCTTACCTATAACATGAAGTATAATGCTGCGGATGCTCAAGTATCCTGCAGCTCTTATTGTACAGACGTAAGTGCCCGTGTCATTTTCTCGGACTTGTTCTATCAACAATGTGCCGTTTGTCGAATTAAGCTGCAGATCAGGCGTTGGAATTGTGACTTTATCTTTGGTCCAAATCAAATTCTGGATAGTAGAAATCGAGCTCAATGTTTTGCTAGTACACCTTAAAAGAACTTTGGATCCACTGTAGACCGAAAGGTTTCCTGAGATAGACTCTGTTATCAGTCCAAAGGCTGTAAAAGAATAAAGAGAAATGACAGAAATGCTTTCTTCTTTTCAATCAATCAATCAATCAATCAATCAATCAATCAATCAATCAATCAATCAATCAATCGATCAATCGTTGTTGCGTAACATAAACATTATTAAGGTTTGCTTGGGGATGTTGGCGATCGCCGTTATTTAGGGGTCAAAAATAGCACGAAGAATACCTCAGAACTTCGTGTCCTTGTTTTATTTTTGGTCTGTTCTTAGAATTTTTGGCCGTTTGAGGGTATTTCAAGCGAGTTTTAGTTCTGCCGTTGTTCTCGGCAGAACGTCAGGGACTGGATGAGAGGGAACCCCTCTTGCCTGATCATGAACGTCTCTATTAAAAATGCTAGTTGGATATGAGATACCCTGCGAGCCAGCACTCTCGCTAATCTTTGAGTTCGAGTAGAGAAAAGAGAAAACAATAAAATCTCCTATTCCATCAATTGTTATAGGGCGGAGGCACTTGCGGCTAGCGGTTAATATTTTGGCTTTTCTACGGCTAACGGTTAATTTCTCTTTGTTACGTTTAACAGACATTTGATGAAGAAAAATCAATTATTTGAAAAAAAATTCAGAGGTTTCATCGCTTTAAGCCTCCAACGACTTTTCCGGGGTCGGAACAATACCGTTCCCGGGATCCGCACTATAGGAATCATATATGAAGTATCTACCGTCCCCGTTGTCCTGGCCAAGGATAGCGCGGTCTCTAGGAACGAGATTGGGGTCGGAAAATAGGTAAAATGGGGTCCATCAGCCATCAGACTAGACACGGAAACTCGTAAAAAAGCCATATTGACACTCTCTACAAAACAATTTATTGCTAGGAAAAAAGATTTTAACGGTTAACTCTATGCGACTAACGCATTCCAAAAAAGCACGTTTTAACTTTAAAAGTAATATTCTTCTTTTCACCATTCGAAGATTAAACTAGTGACTCTTGCCACATGTACAGCTGCATGTACACCCACAGGACCTGTTTTTTTGTTCAGCACTGACTTGCGTTCTTTTCTGCTCATCATTCAGGGGTATTGTCTCCAAGTTTTATATTTTCTTGCACAACAATAGCTAGCATTTTTGCATATTTTTAAAATGCATTGTTAGTTACTGCTGTTCTCGTGAAAATGAAACTTGGAGACAATACCCTTGAATAATGAGAGGCTTTCACTTGTAAACAAGAAACTTTTGCTAAAAATATAGTAGGATTAAACCCTTTGTTATAGGTTTTTGTTAGCTTTCTTGGATCTGACCGTGCATAACGTTCAATAGCATTCCTATCATTTTGAAGTCATTGACCAATAGAAACATTGCGTTAATTTATTCAGTCATAATTTGTGAACAGAAAACAAAGCATTGTGCACGGTCAGGGAGCTTCCAACATAAACTACAGCACTATTGTTTTCAACTTTGAAGTTTGCTGGGTTTCCTAACCACTCTCCTCTACTAACTATATTTTTTTCGTGAGATCTACATATTTCTTCATTTTGTATTCTATTTCATGCATTCAGTTTTATAAGTTTCATAAGAAGTCTGTCATTTTTATGAGACTGGAGGAAAAACTACAAGCGTTGCAATACTCAGTGCAGATCTAACGAAGTTTAAGTGCCTCCTTTCAACTCCCGTATTAAAGTATTCTGCTCTAAAGTGTTAATTTTACAGTGCAAAGTAAAAAACTGGAATTATTATTCATTCAAATTATTTCTCCGTTTCGGATTGGCTCCAATCCGCCGACTAAGCCTTCAAAACCAACCGACGCTGACTAAATTTGGAAGATGCGAGCAATATACCATCGATTCGATGGAATATATTTGATCGGAAACGAGGTAAATGGATCATGGTATATTTGATTGAAAACGAGGCTGCTAGGGCAAAAGACCATCGATCAACCTCGTTTCCAGGCGCGGTGACCTAGCTGTTTATTCACGAGTGAACTAAAAAAATGGTATTCACGGCTATCCGAGACGAAATAGCTGAATTTCTGACTAAAACTGAACGGAAGGAAAGAAAGAATACCCAAAACTTCGTTATAAGAGGCTAATGGGGATGTCCCGCTGGATGGGGTCGCAATTTCAATAGAGTTACTAGAACGGGGTCGCACATTTTCGGATTTTTGGGGTAAGACAGTTCTTCATATTTACGTTTAGGCAAACGTACCAAGATGTTTGTACTGCAGATCAAAAGGAAAGTGTTCTTCATTCAGTCTAAAGAATGGTTAAATTCATAAGACTAAGTTGGGATCGCCAAAATTACATAGTTTCCCAAAAGTGGCCAAGTTGGGGTCTATAACTGGCCACAGAATAGACAATAATCAAGAGACTATAAAGGGGACAGAGAGGGCATCCCCCATATAAACCCTATTCCATAGGTAATTCGTCTCGAGTTATTTTTAGAATCGGGATAAAGTTACCTCGCGCGAGGCGTGGATGTTTCGTGGAGGTTTCGCATGACCAAACGCCGTGCAAAACATGTCGGGCGAGAGGTAATGAAAGCGTAAAAAGACCGAGAGCATTCCTGAATATTGAAGCGAAATGAGTCGGCGCTCACCTGGGAAAAAGGAATCGCTGGACTCTTTGACAACCCTTGAAATCAGTTTAACTCGAAGTTGTCGTAACCTCAGTGCTTTAATAAAATGAGAAATTTTGCCGGTCTATTGAAACCGGTCGTTTGTACAATTTAGGGAGTTTAAGATCCAACGACGCGGACGACAACTAGAACGTCAAGAAAACAATAGGTTTAATTAGCAAAACAACAACTTCGCACGTGCAACACACTTTTTTTGTTCATTTTTTTCGCGTTTTTGCACGACTACGACGTGAAAATGCCTAATTTCGCGTTTTATGGAGGACGTAAATAAGCAACGACGAAATTTTATTTCTCTTTCTGAGCTTGAATATGGTCCCTTGAAATTCAGCTTTAGGAGGGTTCGCCTACAATTGACAAAGTAATTGGGTAGGAATAATCGCTATAAAGACTGAAAAAAATAAACATCAAACCAGAAATTGCTCTCTTCAAACTGTAAATTATAAATGATCCTGAGAGAATATTCAGTGTGTTAAGGATTTCCCTGCTCTACTGTTAGCTCTATACAAGAGAGGAAGGGCGATTCTTTTTTAATTTCGGTTTCGCTGACACAGCTTTCG